AAGATATAATAAATATTAATATAGGATAAATAGAAATTTATACAAATATAGGAGAAATAGAAATATATAATAAATAGAAATACAGGATAAGTAGAAATTTATATAAATATATGGTAAATAGAAATATATTATAAATATAGAATAAGTAGAAATTTATATAAATATATGGTAAATAGAAATATATTATAAATATAGAATAAGTAGAAATTTATAGAAATATAGGGTAAATATAAATATATGATAAATAGAAATATAGGCTAAAGAGAAATTTATACAAATATAGGAAAAATATAAATATTTAATAAATGTATTATAGGATAAATAGAAATTTATATACATATAGGATAAATATAAATATATAATAAATATAAATATCGGGTAAATATGAATTTATACAAATACATGATAGAGAGAAATATATAATAAATAGAAATATATAATAAAAATTTTAGATAAATATGAATGTCTACAAATATAGAAAAATATAAATATATAATTAAATACAATTATAGGATAAATAGAAATTTATAGAAATATAGGATACATAGAAATTATAATAAAAAATATTGGTTAAATAGAAATTTCTACAAATATATGATAGATAAAAATATATAATCAATAGAAATATAGGATAAATAGATATTTATATAGATATAAATTTTAAATAAATAAATATCAATATAAATTTATAAATCCCTGTTTTTTTCCAGGGAGAAACGGGAGCTCCCGGAATGCGCGGGGACAAAGGAGAAAAGGTAGAGGTGGGGGTTTTCCCAAAATTCCCTGTGCTCAGAAAGTCTGGAAAGGGAGAGGCAGCTGGAACATCCCGATGGAAACTGGGATTGCCACATTCCCACCTTTATTCCCGAACCTCTGCCCTCCTTCCGGCAGCGCCGCCACACTCGGGAATAATCCATGATCTTGGAGGTGAATTCCAACCTAAATGATGGAATTATCCTCTTCCACCACTCTAAAAATCCAAGGAGAGGCTTTCCTGATTTTCTGATGGATTGAGAAAGACAGGGAAATGCAGGGATGGAAAAAAGACCTCACAAAGCCCAATTTCGGGAATGTTTTCAGCAGGAAAGGTGGAGAGGGATCCATAATTTTGGAGGTGAAGTCCAACCTAAACGCTGGAATGGTCCTCTTCCACCACTCTAAAAATCCAGGAGGGGCTTTCCTGATTTTCTGCTGGATCAGGAAAGATGAGGAAACACAGGGATGGATGGGAATGGAAAAAAGGCCTCACAAAGCCCAATTTTGGGAATGTTTTCAGCAGGAAAATTTGAAAGGGACCCATAATCTTGGAGGTGAATTNGCAGGAAAATTTGAAAGGGACCCATAATCTTGGAGGTGAATTGCAACCTAAACGATGGAATGATCCTCTTCCACCACTCTAAAAATCCAAGGAGGGGCTTTCCTGATTTTCTGCTGGATCAGGAAAGACAAGGAAATGCAGGGATGGAAAAAAAGGCCTCAAAAAGCCCAATTTCGGGGAATGTTTTCAGCAGGAAGAGATTGAGAGGGATCCATAATCTTGGAGGTGAATTCCAACCTAAACTCTGGAATGATCCTCTTCCATGAGTCTAGAAATCCAGGAGGGGCTTTCCTGATTTTCTGCTGGATTGGGAAAGACAAGGAAATGTAGGGATGGAAAAAAGGCCTCAAAAAGCCGAATTTCGGGAATGTTTTCAGCAGGAAGAGATTGAGAGGGATCCATAATCTTGGAGGTGAATTCCAACCTAAACGCTGGAATGATCCTCTTCCACCACTCTAAAAATCCAAGGAGAGGCTTTCCTGATTTTCTGCTGGATCAGGAAAGATGAGGAAACACAGGGATGAAAAAAAGGCCTCAAAAAGCCCAATTTTGGGAATGTTTTCAGCAGGAAAAGGTGGAGAGGGATCCATAATCTTGGAGGTGAATTCCAACCTAAGCGCTGGAATGATCCTCTTCCATGAGTCTAAAATTCCAGAGGGGCCTTTCCTGATTTTCTGCTGGATCAGGACAGACGAGGAAATGCAGGGATGGAAAAAAGGCCTCAAAAAGCCCAATTTTGGGAATGTTTTTGGCAGGAAAAGGTCGAGAGGGACCAAACAGCAGCTCCGGGGTGGTGGGACACGGATTTTTGGGAGGAAGGAAGACCAGGAAGAGGGAAGAAGGAAGGGAAGGAGGGAGGGAGAAGAAGTTCTGGAATGTGACTGGATTTGCCTTGCAGGGGCAGCCCGGAGAGGCGGGAAAACCCGGAGAAAAGGTGAGGTCTGGAATTCCCACAGACTGCAGGACAACATTTCTATTTATCCTAGTTTTCTATCTGTCATATATTTGTATAAATTTATATTTATCCAATATTTGTATTTATTAAATAGTTCTATTTATCACGCATTTCTATTTATTATCTATTTCTATTTACCCTATATTAATATAAATTTCTATTTATCCTATATTTCTATTTATTATCTATTTCTATAAAATTTATCCTCTATTTTTATTTATTATCTATTTCTATTTCTCCTATATTTCTATAAATTTCTATTTATTCCATAATTATATTTATTATATATTTATGTTTTCCTGTATTTATATAAATGTCTATTTCATATACATTTCTTTTTATCCTATATTTCTATCATATATTTTTATAAATTTATATTTATCCAATATTTTTATTTATTAAATATTTCTATTTATCACATATTTCTATTTATCATATATTTACCCTATATTTATATAAATTTCTATTTCTCCTATAATTATATTTATTATATATTTATATTTTTCTGTATTTGATTAAATTTCTATTTTTCCTATTATTTCTATTTATTTTATATTTCTATTTCTCCTATTATTTCTATAAATTTCTATTTATCCAATATTTGTATTTATTTCATATTTCTATTTATCATATATTTACCCTATATTTATATAAATTTCTATTTCTCCTATATTTCTATTTATTATATATTTCTATTTATCCTGTATTTCTACAAATTTCTATTTCTCCTATATTT